CAAACCAAGTGCAGAACCCTAGAGGTTGAGAAGGTGGAGTTGGAGGCACGCAGTGCTCAATCACCAATTGCCACAAGCATGGTGTCCGAATTGTGCCTCGGTGTGACGGGAGTGTGAACTTGAGTGATAGCTACTTGCTCGGCCAGGAGCCCCTAGTAGCATTCTTGTTCCTAGTAGCGATGCCAGGAGTGCCTAGTAGCTTCTTGTTACTTCTAGCTACTTGCTCCTAGTAGCGTTCACGTGGAAGTACCATACTTGGGAACAAGATTGTTTTCTCCAGCCTACTAGCCTTTTCGGTGCCTTCGATGGCCTCCAACCTAAGAGCGATAGCCTCCAACCTACTAGCAATGGCCTCCAACCTGCTAGTGCTGGCCTCCAACCGCGGTGGGAAGAACAGAAGAACACTTGGCTTTGCATTTCCCTGCGTGTCCTCGTGTTTTGTTTACATCATGAGGTTCTGTCATTGAGTGTTGTATCATCATCATTTTGAGTGTCCTTGAATGTCCAAACCTTCGTGTGCAGCTTTCTTTTGGGGAAATCAGAGTTTGTGGGACTTGTGACCTCTGTAGCGTTTCTTTTCATGACCTGCACGCTTTTTAGGGTTTCGAAGGGTTCGGAGCCTTCTTTGAGATGCTGAAGACTGGGATTTCCTTATGATTTGTAAATGCTGCTTTAACAAACCACTCGGCCACAACCACATGCTCTGAATCTGTGTGCATGAGGTACCACCCAACAATGTTTGGTCTCTTTTGGCCCGAAGTGAACACTTCAATTTGAACAAGTGGCGAACCACCCCACCCAGAGGTTTCAACATGTACAAAGCCCTGTTGTAAGGCTGTGTTGTGTGCAGTGACAAGCACGGCCCGGCATGGTTTGGATCATGTGCATTCTTTTCGTGAGTCTTTTTGCTTGAGTTCTGAGTGTGTTTTTGTGCGAAAGAAGCTTTAGGTTCTGTTCAGAGTTCGGAGAGGAGCAGAGCACTATTATTCAGAGTTGTTCAACCACTACAAGGAGCAAGGAGGCCACGAACGGGGCTCCTGTCCTTACTACTAGGAGCAAGGAGGCTATACTGGTAGTAACAATGTTTGCTACTAGTAACAAGTGCCACGCTAGTAGTAACAGGTGCCTTACTAGTAGTAACAAGCAGCTACTAGGAGCATTTCAGGCATCGCTCTGAACGGAGCGATCAGAGGCTACGAACGAATCGCTCCTGGCTCCTGCCGACTGAAACCGTCTTGTGCTACGTTTCCGACTTCCGCGGTTCTTCGACTTGTGTTGTTCCAATGACCCGTGACCCGTTGGTGACCTGTTGTGTTGAGTTTGGTCAATGTCTGGTCAAGTGGTGCGTCACCTTCACTTCATTCTCCTGGCATCGCTATAGTAACAAGGGCCTTACTACTATAGGAGCAAGAACGCGACTTCAATTGTTTTCTTTAGTGTTTGGATCGTGTCCTTCGTTGCTGCTTCATGCGGTTCTTTCACATGAATTTTCTAAGGTTGCTGTGTGAAGAGGTTCGGGAGGCAGAGGCGGCCGGGCTGACCATCGCATATATGCGGGCTGTAGGAATCATTATGGCATACGGTTCACCGAAGACGGACGGATCCTGACCTTGTAAATACCTTCCATGGTGAACAGGGGTGTCCCGCAAAAACTTCTGTTGGTCCTTTTTCGAAGAAACATCGGTGTTTTTGTTGTTTTCATTGTCCGTGTTGTTTTCGTTGCAAGTTCGGGTTTGCGGTGTGCCCAGTCGAACGTTATGCAAAGACTTGTGGTTGGAAGTTCCAACAAACATGCAGGTTGTGAAGTGCATTCAGGAAGAAAACAGGTTGCATTTCCAACATCAATGTCATGACAAAACGTGGTTTTCAGGCGGGATCACCACAGGCTGTGGTTCTTGGGAAGGAGAGCTACAATAGCAGCTACAATGTGTTTGCGTCAGCTGGTGGCATGCACTGACAAGATTGCAATCACTTTGAGGAGCAAGATGAAGAGGCTGGGCCACCCCTTGTGTTTTTCGAGATACTTTGCAGATTACATATTCATCGAATGTTTGCTGAGGAAACTGAAGGACTGTTTTGGTCTTAGCATTGCACTCGTTGTATGTTTGTACTGCTACCCTGTCGGTCAATGCTGCAATTCACATTCAGATTGTTTTTTCAATGTGACGTTTTACCTTGTTTCCTAAACAGTTTGTGAAATTATTTCTTTGCTAGTAGGTTGGAAGCCATCGCTACTAGTAGCTCAAAAGAAGCTTGTTTTCTTATCGTCATCTAGTTCTATTTCTTTGTTGCGTCAAAGTACTGCTGCGCTGCTTGCTAGCTAATTATTCTGCCTGAGCGCTGTTCAGACTTTTCCTTTGCATCATTTACTTCGCTCACTCTCAAGGCTGAGCAGCGCTGATTTCACCGGAAGGAGCTGTTCAGCGGTGAAATCACTTGGTGTTTAACGTTGTTTGTGAATGACAAGTTTGCAGTAACAAGGTTCGCTACGAACGGGGCTCCTGGCATCGCGAACCGAACGGAGCGATCGGACGCTATCCTAACGGGGCTCCTGGCCGACTACCCCTCCGACTCGTCAAATCCTGAATCGCACGGGCCGGTCCTGCGATGACCGTCCTGCACGGCGGGTTCCGCTTTGCAAATTGTAATTACTAGCGTCCTTGTTACTAGTAAGGCACTTGCTTGTTTCTAATAGCGATGCACTTGTTACTACTAGCTTCAATGCGCAGGATCCAGAAGTTGCAGGCAAAAGTGGGAGAGCTTGAAGCTTCTCGTGTGCAAAGCGCCGTCTCGTTTGGCTGTCTGGACTGGAAACCACACGAATAGTCCTGCTTCACCAAGGCGCAGAATGCAGTACTCAAGCGATCTTTGAGCCAGCGCCCGATCGTGTGCGCAGACTTTGTGGCGCAAACGGAGAGGCAAAAAGACAGCACGAATCGTGTGTGAGGTACCAGTTCGCACCTCCAGATGCTGGACTTGAAGCGCAAGAGGACAGAGACGGAGGGACTTCATGGAAGCGAAAGCAACGTTTGCCAGCGGCAGGAGATAGAGGATGAGGAAGCTCAGGCAACTGAAACCAGACAAGTTCTTGAATCTACCTACAAACTAAGCAAGTTTCCGAATCCATCGTCCCGTAGCCGTATTCCTAGATTGGCCACGTGAAACCAATTTTGACCGCGGTTGATCCACATAAATACTCTAAACGTCGCTACTAGGAGCAATCGGACGCTACTAGTAGCTCCTGGCATCGCTACTAGGGGCTCCTGGCCGTACTACTAGGAGCAAGAGGACGCTACTAGTAACAAGAAGCTACATTTAAAACTACCTGAATATTTGATTTAAAAAGGCAGAATCCTCCGGATTCATTTAATTGCTACCTCTCTTCTCGTGGCCGTCACACCCCCAGCATACTAATTACTGTTTACTAGATAAGGCTAATGGCTTCTTCAAGGACTCTCCCAATGGCTTCTTAAGTCTTAGGCTTCTTCAAGGACTCCCCCCATCGCCGGTTGGTCTTCCTTAGGAAGCTTCGTAAGCTCCTACTGCCGCTAAGTTCACCTCTTGGTGGCCTACCGCCCCTAGCTAGTAGCAAGGACGCTAGTAGAAACAAAGGGCATCGCTACTAAGAGCAAGGACGCTACTAGGGGCGCTCCTGGCCTTACTAGTAGAGACAATGTGTGCTATTAGAAACAAGAAATAGAATTGAAGGCACATGTTACGAGCGAGGTCTCATCTTGGGGCGCCTTGGAAGGGGGCTGCCGCCTCTGCGTCAGGAACGGCGCTCAGCGGAACAGCCGTTTTGACTTCGCTCCTTCTTTCCATTCCTTTCTCCTTTGGTGGAGACCATCGCTATTAGGTTTATTCTCGAAACTTTGTTTAACGCTGACGTTGTTTATTCTATTCTTTCCGGCTTTGCACCGCTTTGTTGAACTAGACCCTTTTATGCTTTGAGACGACTCTGTCGAATTCCAATCGTAGGCGTCTGTGGCGCTTGTGGCTTCTTTGCCGGAAGCAAAGGTGCGGATCCAACAAAACCAAAGATTCTCCTCGCCGCTGCTTGCCTCGTCTTTGCTTTGTGGACCTCAGCACTAGTCACTAGACCCAGACTGGACCTCAACCCTATATACTCATTGAGTGGTCAACTCTTAACCCACCATGTGATGATAGATCTGGATCTCAAATAGATGGTGAGCAGTTTACAAAATTAGGTTTCTGAGCTGCATGAGCAAGACACATTCTTGCTGAATTATGTCTCGGATCATGTGAAGCTTTTTTGACATTTGGATCATTCTTCCCTCCTTCCTTTCTTGGAGAAAAACACATTAAATGAGTTTGGGGCTTAGAGCAACTAGAAACGAGCAACCAACTAACACTTCGACATACTGCCACAATGAGCTCAACAGCACCATGGCGCTGCTCGAACACCAAACACTTACCGATCACGTTCGCGGACTGTTCGCAGTTGGAACAGCAGCGTTCACCAGGTGCATGACGGCCTTGGAGCAGCAGCTCCGCTGGTTCACTCGCCGGTTGCTGGAAAAACCTTGTTTAATGCTCCTGAGCTCAGCTGTCAGCTCACGAAGATATTTTTTCCAAAGATTTTGTTGTGTTCTTGTGCATTGGAACCGCATTCCGGTTCCCTCTGTTCATTCCGTTTCCATACAGCATCGTTTGTGGAATCAGGTGGCTTTTCTATTTCCACCTTCTCGTGCTTTGGTGCATCGAGATTTGGAGACAGGAGCGAAAGTGGAAGGGGTGGGGAGATAACCACTGTACCACTCAGGAGATGTAAGGAGTAATACGCTTATAGGTAGATACTAATGCCAGGAGCTACTAGTAGCTTCTTGCTCCTAGTAGCGATGCCCTTAGTTACTAGGAGTAAGTATAGGTAGATCTTTATGAGAAACTTAACGCTTGTCTTGATCACATTTGATCACTTGCAAGTTGATTTCGAAAAGACATGCCCTTTGATTGCGATGCCACGGAGGCTTTACACACAGTCGATACAGACACACACACACACACACACGTGTATAATATATTCTATTCTATGCATATTCATTGTTTTTATCTCTCTCTTCGCACAAGGCAGTGCTCAAACCGCTTCCGATGGATCCAGCTTTGAGCCTCGAATCCGCAGTGCAGGCGGGACCCGGCCAGAAACTGGCTTCCAAACCTGATACCAATAGCCAACTGGACTGCCGCGCCAACGTGGATGGACCGCCGTTTTAGAATGGATCTCTGAAGTCGTACTTTGTGATGCGGTGCTTTAGTTTGCTTGTTCCTAGTAGCGATGCCAGGAGCCCCTAGTAGCGTCCTTGCGACTCCTAGTGGAATGTATACGAGTGGTCATTTGAGATATCGTGATGTGCGATGAAGCATAGAGTGTAGTGCAGTGATTTGTGAGGTGGTCAAGTGTGGTGTGGATGTTTTTTTTCCGTGAAGATTTGGTGTCCATTTGCTTTTCTCAAGAATCTTGATTGGTCAAGAATCAAACGTCTACTTTTCTCTACTTCTTTACTTTGCTTGCTAAACCCTCGACGTCTCTTCGAGAGTTGCTCCTACTTGTCCCTTTGTGGGCGTCTCTACCTTTCCGTTCCTTGCTTTCTCTTTTGAAGACAGCAACCATGATTTACAAGATACAACAGTCTTTTGGTGGGACTGGCACTGTTCACACCCCCTCAACTTTTTGCTGAGGAGGGGGTCGGGTTGAACTATTATTTACGCGATGGTTCGAGACGTTTTTCCATAAAATACATCTTTGTTTGCCGGAAATGGTGCTTCTCGAATGCAAAGCGTTTGGAATGTCGGCTCTCCGCTCTTCCCAAACTGAATCTTTGCTCTTTGCTACGATGGCCTCCAACCTATAGCTTTTTGCTGTGTGGTCTTTCCCGAAAGCGTTCTTTGCGCTTCCGCTACTAGGAACAAGTGCATCGCTTCTAGTAACAAGTGCCTTACTAGTAGTAACAAGAAGCTACTAGGAACAATAAGCTAGTAGAAACAAGTGCCACGCTGCTAGGAACAGGTGCCTTACTAGTAGTAACAAGAAGCTACTAGTAGCTATTTGTTACTGCTAGTAAGACACTTGTTACTCCGCACTTGCCCCACACGCCATGCGCTTCCGTGCGCCGTGCCCTTCACACGCCCACACTAGCGCCCAATCTAGCGACGTCGGCACGCCACTGGCGTTACGCCACTTTTGCTGTGAAGAAGATCTCGGATAAAATGGAGTTTCATTAAACAAACAAACAAAACACACAAAAAGACCTCGTGGTTTTTTGGCCTGAAGAGGAGGAGGTTCATATTTTTCAGAATAGCTAGCAAGAGGAAGCTCAGCAAAAAACTCGATGCTTTGCACCAGATGCGAATGATGCACCATGATGCTAGTCGTTCTTGTTCCACTCTTCCCCTCAATCAAAATCATGAGTTCGCAGTCGTTCCAACGCAAGCTTTCTCCGAAGCCAAAAATGCGATGCTAAGGCCCTGACAAGTCTTACCGAATGTATGGAGTTTTGTGGGTTGAGTTCTTGGCAAGGGTAACCATATTATTCTTCGCGCATTCCATTTGGTGTCCTTTTCCTTCGTTTCCCTAGCTTGTTCTAGGAACACATCCAAATCAAAGTCTGCCTTAGCATTCTGTCAAGCACTCTGCGACGGTTTCCGGCTTTGCATTGCATTGCCCGTTTGTGTCAAGCGCTAAGCTTACCAGGTGCACCGTCCAGCACCTCCTTGAGGTTGATGGAGAAGAAACAGGCGCGTTCAGACGCAGAGAGTGTTGAGTCAGCCACTTAACCTAAGTGCGATGGCCTCCGACCCCCGCATGTGTGGGGTCAACTTCCCCGCAAATCGACAAGAACATATATATGATATGGAGGCGAACTAGTGGATTCCGCTGCCAGTACCCCTTGCCCTGAAATAACGCCCTTCTTTTTTTGTAAAGAAATGACATGTTTATCATAGATGTTGGAGGCCATCGCTAGTAGGTTGGAGGCCATTTCCTTTAGGAATGTGTTTCATAAATGCTGGTCACTTCGTTTGCGCAGGGCTATCGAAGTCCGGTGTTGCTGGGCTGTGCTGGGGTTGTTACACCCAGAAAACGCTACAACTTGGACCTGGTGAGAAGCACAGAAAACAGAACGAAAAAGGGCTTATAGCTTTTGCTCGCTTCAGGGATCGTTCCGAGCTAGGGAATGCATGTTTCTGGACGAAGACGAATTGTTTTCACCAGGTGAAAACGAATCGACAAGTAGTTGACGCGCAGCTCCTGACGCGCAGCTGACGGCAACCGACTCGCTACCGACGAGCACGACCGGGCACTCGCAGCGGTGCGACCGGCGACGTGCGCGCCGAAAAGAGCCTCGGCCGGCGCTCGCGAGTTGAGCGTGAAGCCTTGAGAGTTTCACGTGATGCAACTGCAGCATGTTTCGGATTTGGTAGACACAACTAAGACACATTGTTGGTTTGGAGTGGTTCGACCGATGTCAGTTGAAACCGTGATGCTAAGAAATGTCAAACCCATGAAACCCGTCACGGTTGTCGGGAGGGCGGCCCAGACACACAGGCCACGCTTGAAGCTCTAGTGACGGTGACCAGCCCGACACAAACTCCCTGGTATATCTGGTATGTGTTTCTGGTCTTGGAGTGGAACTGCACATTATTGGCGAACACTTGCCATGGCGGATGTTTGAGCGCAAGTGGCCCCGGCGAGCCCCTCCTGCTCAGCTTGAGCCACTTTCAAGGCGCTCGGATCATTGTGAAGTTTGAGCCATGCCAAAACCTTACAGGTCATCGGCCATCGCTAGTAGGTTGGAGGCCATCGCTAATAGAGAGACAAAGAGAAGAGAAAAGGAAGACGGGTCTATATAATACGTTCTTTGTTCCTAGTAGCGATGCCAGGAGCCCCTAGTAGCTTCTTGTTCCTAGTAGCGATGCCCTTTGCTCCGAAGTTTGCAGAAAGGAAAGCACCAAAAACACAGATCACTTTGCGACCGCATTCCGATGTCCGATGCATAGCCGGCATGACCAGGTTCGAACAGCTGATACAGTTGCCATTCCGAGATAGAAGTGATAGAAGTGTTGCAGACCCACGGGGACCCACCGCTGGTGTTTTGGTTCGGTTTGGACCATTTTGTTCAGAGTGTTTCTCATATTTTTGCCATTCCGAGTGACGCCCACTCACTGCCACCCGCCGTGAGGCACGATCGAAGTGTTACCGCTCATTTGAGAGAACTTTTGGGCGACCCACCAAAGGCAGGAACAAGGGCATCGCTACTAGTAGCTCCTCACCTTACTACTAGGTCACTCAGAGCAAGGAAGCTACTAGTTGATTTGTTCACCGGAAGAATTGCACTCTTTAACTCGGGTGTCAAAGCCGCGGGAACGCTGCAGATTCCTCCGCCATCTCGGAGTTGGTGGATGCCCAAGAGTCGCTTTCTGCCCGGCGCCATTGACCTAAGAGCGATGGCCTCCAACCTAATAGCCTCCTTGCTCCTAGTAGCGATGCCAGGAGCCCCTAGTAGCGTCCTTGCTCCTAATAGCGTCCAAGCAAAGATTTCCCTGCAAGTCCTGGATCTTGTTTCCAAGATACAAAGAGGCATATCAACCAGGAGCTACAGGCCGAAATCACTTCGCTACTCGCTGTTGCTTTCTTTTCTTTGCGGAAGACTGTGAGGCAGACTGAGAAGACGAATGGCAAGGTGAGACAGGGCCGGAGCGGGCAAACGAAGAAAAAGCGAAGAACAAGCCAAAAATAATAGCGATGGCCTCCAACCTGTTGAGACCATGTTTGCGTGTTCAAAAGGTTGAGACAAACATGTCTAGCTTGCCGTTAAATCGTGAAACACATGGGTCGCACCGAACAAGTTGAGAATGTCGTTTGCAAAGTGCCTTGTACTAGGACCAAGAGGACGCCACTAGTAACCAAGGGCATCGCTACTAGGAGCAAGGAAGCTACTAGGGGCTCCTGGCCTTACTACTAGGAACAAGAAGCTATATGAGTTGGATCTGAACTTATAGTCGTGTGACGAACAGAGAGCCTTTAGATCCCACAGAGGTCGACAGTCTTGCATCACAGGAGGTAGGTGAATTTACACCTACGCCATCGTATGTCAAGCTGGAGAAGCTGTGTACTTGTAGCAATGCGCCAGCCCTACGCAAGTCTGCACGACTAGTCTTAGGTATATATCTCCAACCTAAGAGCGATGGCCGCCAACCTAAATGGCCCGCAACCCCACTTACTCCTTTGGAGCCAGCATCCTTCGCAACCCGAGGTGCCATTTGGAGCCCCTAGTAGCGATGCCAGGAGCCCCTAGTAGCATCCTTGCTCCTAGTAGTAAGGCCAGGAGCCCCTGCATTTTTCGGCCCTAATCTTCGTGTTCTGAGAACCACGCATCTTCGTGTCATAGAGCGAGGTCACAGGGTGAAGACGAACACGAGGCCAACCAGTAAAATTACCGATGCGCATATCAAGCAGGAAGGCCCAGGAGTACTACCCCCAAGTCATCCATCCAAGATCTGCCGACTCCTTGCTGCAAAGATTTGGGAACTCCACACAGCTACTCTTGCATTTTATCGAGCTAAACTCCACACGTTGGTCGAGTCTGAGCCCATTTCTTGCATTTTGCATTGACCTTCCAATCTAATCAATCAGTATTTGAATCTCATCCTTTTTTTAATCGATCCGTTTTTCTACGTTTTCCCATCGTTTTCCCGGCCGCGAGAGAGACCGATCTACCATCGCGACCGACTCGGCTTCGACTCGACCACGCACTTCGAAGGCGCTCGAGGGCGACGGCGATGGTCGATGCCAAGGACGTGACCAAGGCCTAGGATGTCGGAAAACGAGAGATGTGGAAGAGGAAATCAGAAACAACATGAAACATATGTTTTCAGTTAGAAAGTAAAGAATCAAGAACGATTTGGAGAGGGAGATGTGGAGAAAAGAACAGCTTCTCCAGGAGAAGCTTCAGTGACTTTTCAGCATCAGGCGACCCAGGGCGACCGCTCCGCGCGGAGCTGCGCGTCAGGGCGTTCTGCGCTGCGCTTGGGATGTTCGTGAAAACACGGCTCTTCAGGAGATCGAAGTGGAGCCAGACATCACCCTGCAAAAAGCCCTTCGGAAGGAGACGAGACGACGAGACAAGCTGAGACGAAGATAGCAAAAAGCAAGCTGAGGAGGCAAAAATCGAGGTTGATTAATCTATTTTGGTTTACGGTGGCTGGCGCACTTCGGTGGCTGGTTCGCTTTGTCTCCCACTGGGTTCAGCCGCTTCGCTTGGCACACCCTTACGTGCTATACCGCCGGATGACAGTATAGCGTATAGTTGGCGTTAGTTGGAGCAGGTCCCAACAGAACAGTCCGTCCAAAATCAAAGTCCAGCCCTAGCGCTGCCCTGATGAATAGCGCAAAGGAATCTCCGATTCATCCACTGTCACAGTTTCAAACTGACAACTCAACTTTTGCAGGAGTCCCTAAATGCTTTCCCCACTCACAGAGCGATTAAAACCGTTTTCTCCAAGCGTAGATGCTTAAGCTCACGTCAAGTTGAGAACCAGGAAGCTGACAGGGCACTTGAGAGCAGCAGAGGGTGTAAAGCAGCGAAAAATTTCCTCTACAACGCCGGAACTTGCCCTCACAGCGCTCAACCCCCATTCCCCACAGTCTCCGTCTCGCAAACGATTTGTCGTCAACTGTTCTGCCTCAAACATGAAAAGTGCACAAGGACAAGGCCTAGGAGCAAGGACGCTACTAGTAACAAGTGCATCGCTTCTAGTAACAAGTGCCTTACTAGTAGTAACAATAAGCTAGTAGTAACAAGTGCCACGCTAGTAGTAACAAGAACGCTACGAACGGGGCTCCTGGCCGTACTACTAGGAGCGATCAGACGCTAGGAACAAAGGGCATCGCATGGCATCGGAGCGATCGGACGCTACGAACGGAGCTGTGTCGGTGTCCGTGAAGCATCCGAAGGCATGAGTGGGACGAGGTCTGCACTTCGACCGGAAGATGCAGTTCCTTTATGCTTCTTGTTACTACTAGTAAGGCACTTGTTACTAGAAGCGATGCACTTGTTCCCAGTAGCTTATTGTTGGGAGTGAAGAAATAGGGGAACACAATGATGCCCTTTGTTCGCAAGAATGCTCCGTTCGTAGCGATGCCAGGAGCCCCGTTCGTAGCGTCCTTGCTCCTAGTAGCGATGCCTAAGAGTGTAGAGATGGTTACACCTGATCACTGGGATTTCAAACGTAAGGTCAACCGATTGTTTTTTTCTATTTGGTTGGAGGCCATCGCTCTTAGCTTGGAGGCCATCGCTAGGTTATGGGTCATGGCTGTGATCGATTTTGAGGAGCTTCGGGCGGCTTTGCGCTCCTGTTCCAGCATTCAGGTGGACGAATGCCACACGTGCGGAACGTGACGAAAGCTACACGGTTCTTCGGACACGTTCTTCTTACGTTCCGAATAAAACGAGAACCAGTGAGTCACTGTTCCCTTTTTGAGTACCAAATTATCTAAAACGACTATAATATTATATAATATTAGTAACACCAACTGCATCATGAGGAAAAGATAGATGTCTCATCCGTCCACGGGAGGTGCTGGATGCTACGTTGACTGCAGCGCGGGGCAAGGGTGCAGCGCTAAGAGGCCATTGGCCACTGTCAGCTCAAACACGGTCGTCCAGACGTCTCAAACATGCGAATCAGGTCGTTGTCCACGAGAGAGCAGGCGAATCCTCAAGGTGAGAAGAGAGTTTTTGGAGTTTTCTGGCTCTAAGGACTCTAAGACTAAGATATGTTTCATGTTTTTTTTTGGTGACAGTGATGTTTTTGCCACGATGGTGGAAAGCAATTCTGCGGAACATGGTGCAGGTTCTGAACGCTTTCTGGCATTCCCAGGCCTGTTCGCACATTGTAAAAGCTTTGGGGTACGGTGGTTTCACTACTAGGAGCAAGGACGCTACTAGGAACAAGTGCCTTACTAGTAGTAACAAGTGCCCTACTAGTAGTAACAAGAAGCTACTAGTAGTAACAAGAAGCTACTAGTAGTAACAAGTGCCACGCTACTAGGAGCTTTGACTGCCCAGTTTACCCAATTGGCAGGGGCGACGGCGGCGACGGTCGGCCATGAAGCTCATGTCCCAGGCAACGAGTCGGACAAATCCCCGTCGATGAGCACTGCACTGCACAGATCCGGCACAACATTTGTTTCCCATGTGTTCGCTTCTTCTACTGGGATTGTTTTTCATATCTGCTCATTAGGGGCTCCTGGCATCGCTACGAACGGAGCGATCGGACGCTATTAGGAGCAAAGGGCCATCGCTATTTCTGGAGACGTTCGCATCAACAGACCCAGAGACCTCGTTCGCCTCTCTGCCTCCACAGGTCCTGCGGCAGGAGGCCGTGCTTGGGAGTTTTGAGTTGTGTGTGCGGTGTCTTCTTTACCGTCCCTAGCCCCTAGTAGCGTCCTTGTTTGAAGCGAGCAACGTCGTGCAACGAAGTGTCACAGGGCGAGCATCGCCGCTTCGCTTTGGCTGACAAAGGCGGCACTCACGAAAACCCCGCGCTTTCGTTCAGCTCGGTTTCAGGTGTTGCTTTGACCTTCTTGAAAGAAAGGTTGAAAGATGCCCAAAGCAAGACGAAATGAAGACTTCAGAACAAACAAAAATGGGACACAAAGTCTTGTTTTCCGTTCCTCCGTCCGTCCAGGCCAAAGAAAGAAGGAATTGTTCTTCACACCACGTGGAGTCCTGAGATTGGAACGAAGCGATGTCTCAACGAAGCGATGTTGGCCTCCGAGGCAAAGCCACTGTAGGAAGGAAAAGTGAACTTCCTCTCTTGGCATCACTACAGCAGTTGGTTGAAGCCCAGCAGCTTGGCGAACAGGATTGTTTGACAAGAAATGGAATTTGGTCAGACATATTTGGAAAATAAGAACTGATGTCAGGCAGTAGCCTCCAACCCAAAAGCGTCCTGGCTCCTAGTAGCGATGCCAGGAGCCCCTAGTAGCATCCTTACTCCTAGTAGTAAGGCCAGGAGCCCCTAGTAGCTTCTTTGCTCCTAGTAGAGATGCCCTTTGCTCCTTGGTATATGGCCCGCATTATGTGAGCCCCCAGCGATACCACCGTAGGACTGGCTGTAGGGCCGCCTTCCGAAACAGGTCGGAGGACTTGGAGAAGATCATCCGAAATGCCTTCCGACAGGCCCTGCGTCTTCACGTTTTCTTGAAACGGGACACGAGAGATACGTGGGACATACGTCAGCAACAGTACTGTATGCAGCTGTTTCATGTCCAGTGTTTGACCTCATCTTTCTCCTTTTTCAGGTAGCTCGCGGCGGAAGGTTGAGCAAAGAGGAGCATGAAGACGGAGACATAAAGTCTAACACACAGTTAACATGTTTGCTTTTTGTTTGATGGGAAGCGATGTAGTTCCAATGGTTTGAAGGACTTGCCGAAAGCATTGCGCCATTGTCGATTCAAGGACCATGAAACACACGAAAGAACGATGCCAAAGTGCATTCCAAACCGTCACATTTGACAAAAAGAGGGCGCTACTAGGAACAAGTGCATCGCTTCTAGTAACAAATGCCTTACTAGTAGTAACAAGAAGCTACTAGGAACAAAGGGCATCGCTACGAACGGAGCAAGGACGCTACGATCGGGGCTCCTGGCCTTACTACTAGGAACCAGACGCTACTAGAAGCAAAGGGCATCGCTACGAACGGAGCAATGAACCGCCTTATGATACATCATCTACCCAGCCTTAGGAAATTAATCAAGGTCTCCTACTGAGATCTTTATTATTTTTTTTGGATTAATTTCTAGAAGTTGGGTGAATACTCAGAGGGGTACCCCTAGCAAGGCGCCAGATATTAATTGACCTGGAATTAATTTCTTGCTTCCTAGGTCAAGGTCACTGGAATTATTTTTTTGATTTGGGGGGGG